GAAGCTTTGTACAAAAATCAGTGGCACAATGGAAGACACAGTTGTTGGTCAATGGTGATAGACAGGGAGGGGTTAAATCAAGAGAGGAATCTTCCAAGGAAACTCACTCTCACTACTGTTATTGGTCATTGCATTGATTCCTCTGTCAACCATACTAAATAAGCCAGACCACGGCTGTAAACATCAAAAACATCTGCCAGGCTATCCCACCTCCTTTACATGGATGATCTGAAACTGTATGGAAAAACTACCTGAAATAAAATCACTGCTTAATGTTGTCCCTATATACAGTCAAGATATGGACTGGACAAATGTGGATTGGACAAATGTGTCAGCCTTACCAACAACAGGGGAAAATAGTGAAAAACTGAAGAAATCAAGATGCCCTAAGGAAATGACATCAAGAGTCTGGATGAAGTCAATTACTACAGATACCTGGGCATCCTTCAAGCTGACAGCAACAAGCACACCAAAATCAAGAACGTTAGAAGAGAATACATCATCAGGGTGAAGAAAATCTTAAAGTCCAAACTCAATGAAGAAAACATCTCAAGGTAATTAACAACTGGACATTTCTAGTATTAGATACACAGCTGGAACAGAGGACTAGACTCAAGCAGAACTAAAAGTCCTGGACAGGGAGACCAAAAAAATAATGACAATGAATCATGCCCTTAATCCATGCAGTGATGTTGATAGCCTCTACTAACCAAGAAATATAATTGGGTATGGAATGTTGCAAGTTACCGGACAATTCAAGAAGAAAAAAAGACACTGGAAGGGTATCTGAAGGACAGTGGAAAAGATGCACTGAAGTTAGTATATCATGAAGGCTTACTGAATCTGGAGACCAAACTGGCCTATAAGAAAGACCAAATGAAGAATATAAAAGAGTCATGGTAAGGCAAAGTACTACATGGCCAGTATATTAAAAAAAAAAAGCCAGCATGCAAACCAGATAACAAGAAGATTTGGAAATGTCAAAAAGCAGGAAAATTGAAGAAAGAGACAAAGGGGCTAATTTTGGCTGCACAAGAAAGACCAAGCCTGGAAAACACATATACACAAAATTAGAACTGAGAAAACAGCAACATAAAGCAAATATTGCCTCTGCAAAGAAGCTGAAGAACAGGGGACCACCTAGCTGGCTTCTGCAAAACTGACTACAAACAACAACATGACGAAGTAGCAACAATGGTGCATTGGAATATATGCAAGAAATACCATTTGCCTATAAGTAAGAACTGGTACGACCACAAAATAAAGTACTAACAAACGAAGAAGCTAAATGCTCTGGAACCTTAAAATTCAAACAGACAGGCACCTGCCACAAAACACCACATATTTAAAAATTATTGATAAGAATGACAAAGAAGTGTGGATAAAGGATGTGGCAGTAGCTGGAGACAGCAATATGGAAAAGAAAGAATTGGAAAAAAATCACAAAATACAAAGACTTGCAAATAGAAGTGGAATGACTAGGATGAAAGAAAGCAAAGATATCAGTAGTAATAGTTTCCTTGGGTGAAGACCCCAAACATCTGGAACACTATTTGCACATCATTAGCATTATAAAATTATCATCAGTCAATTGCAAAAAGTAACTTTACTTGGGACAGCTTAAATCATAAATCCTCATAAATCTTGCAAGGATACCTTTTACACCATCAAGCAGCAACATCTGCCTATCACAGGTCCTTGGAAATGATTTGATAGGTGGACAAAAACACCAAATCCAGTCTAAACATCTGCCTGACTGTGTGAGCATTCCTAACACTTTTTATTTCTATTCCACTCACAGCAGAAGTTTTTAGAGCAAATTAAAAGAAGGCTTTGTGCTGGAATTCTCATTAAGCTTAATTTTAATTACTCATAGAAACTATTCCGGTACCAGTTCAAGCCAAGGAAATACTAAGTTTTTTTTTTTCTTCAATTGTTTTACTACTAATCCATCATCATCACATCATACCTGCCAATTTTACTGTGGTGAATCATAATATAGCAGAGTCATTTTTCCTTGGGACAGCCTTGTAAATATGCAATTTAGTTTGATTGATGGTTTGAGCTTAATTTCAGTTATTATAAATTATTTTTTGCAGTATAGAAAGAGCCATAATTCCTGCATTTTTCCTATTGATTTCTAAACACAGTTCATTTGTTCATTCCGTTTTATCTTCCTCTGCTCCTTCTACATTTTAATTGACTCTTTCCCCCCAATTAAATACGTCGTTCACATTAGACCAAGAAATCATCAAGTAAATCAATCCAAAATTCTCATTCCAGATACAAATGACCTAGCTCAAATTATCCTGCTTTGGACATAGTATGCAAAGACTTTAAACTTTGGAAAAGGCTCTACTGCTGGTAAAGTTGAAAAGATCATGTAGCAAACTAGATGGGTTCAATTACAGCTGTGATGGGTGCACTGTTGGAAGTTCTGAAAGACCAGATTATTGACAGATAATCATAAGAGAAAATCTATTTATGTGGTTGCTCAGATTCTACACCAACTTAACTCTTTCACATAATTAACCAAAACCTGTCTCTATATGCATATACCTTTATGTTTTATTCTTGTATCATTTAAAAGCCAGGAAATCTATAAGAGATTTGCTTTATTTTCTTATTTTACTTTGTTTATATGTATAAAAAAACAAGCTTTCCTTTTCATTGGCATCTGCAGGCTCCCACTGCTTTATATCAGTTTGTTGATGTAATGGAATTTATGAGTGATCTTGGGGGAAAAGGAAAAGAGACGCTGCCTAGAAAACAATCAGATAAGGGAGGGCGGGGGCTGCAGTCACTTAATAGTCAGAAAAAGAAACTTTTGAAGGATATGCTATAATGGATCAAACAGTTAAAAGTGGAGGCAGGAAGTTTGTGTCTTCAAACTTGCAATATTCTGTTAATGTAGCCTTACAATAAAGTAGAATTAGTTCATCTTGGTGTATTTCTTGTCAGATAAAAGCAGCCTCACACTGCAAGCTCCACCCCTTTGGAGGGTGCATATGATATTGCAGTGCACATGGGGAAAAAAGTGGGCATGCAGGGAATGTTGCAACGCTGCTGACATCACTGCGACCCCTATTGTCTCCCTTGGAGGCCACTGGCATTTTGCTCCTGACACTCCAATTGCCAGGCTCTCAGTCCTTGCACACATACACAGTCTTTTTATCTGAAGAAAGTAGTGTTACAAATCACTTTTGCATTCATTCAGCCCTTCCTTGAGTACCAATACAATTAAAGGTTTCAATGTGCTCATATCTCAGCTCCACTTCAAGATATTTTTCCTATGTGACCTTCTTGATATATCCCAATCTGTTTAGAAACTATTAAGTTGCATTCCATATGGAGAGTGGAACAATGGATCAAATGCAGTGAGCCATATGCCATTGATGTATTGCAGGGACATCTATGTTGGGGTCAAAAAGTGAAGAAGGTGGCAGTGACTTTAATGAAGACCCCCCACCTACTTTTTTAACAAACCTTTTTTAAGCTGGTATCTCCAGATGTGCTACACTACAAATCCTGAAGATGTTTCATGCAAAGAGGAGCAATGAGAGACCCAAGTCATGAGCACCACATACCAGAGGGAGCTGGACCTATCTCTCCTGCAACCATAATTGGAACCAGCCAAGTGAAAGAGGAGAACCCACAAAATAAAGCCTCCAGTCCAGAAGGATCCCATGGTAGATAGTATCAAAAGCTGCCAAGAAACCCAGGTGAGCGAAGACAGTTGCACCATTTCTGTCCAGAATCACTAAAGATCATCCATAAATGCCATCAGTGCCACCTCAGAATTATACTCCAGCCTGAACCCAGACTTAAAAAGTTTAGATAAGGACACTGGATTAAAGAAGCCTAAAGTAAGCACATATGATTGCTCCAATGATTTGGCTCAAACCAACCATAAAGAGGCATAATGTTTTAACAATGATTACTACAAGGGTGGTTTTTTTTGCCTGTTTCATTTCAGTTTTGCAACTGTAATTATTCATAGATAATCAGTGAATTCTATGCTGGATCCTGTGTCAGTTTTGTTTCATTTCCATATTGTACTTTAGGTAGGCTGTCTGTCTTTAAAAAAAAAAAAAAGAATAGTGTGCCTTTAGTTATCTGGAAAGAGAAGCTGTAGCTGGCATTTTTGCAGATATTAGCTAATAGGACAGCCAGCTGTTGTAGAATCAGAAAATCTGGGACATATTTTTCAAGACCAGGCACTGGATAAAAGTATAACTGTACTGAAAACCTGTGCAATTATTATTGCTGTTACCATTTTTTTAACAAAAGGATTTATCTACAAAAAAGGATTTGTATGTATTCACTGTACTGAAAACATTCACCGTTTTATATCTGCTTGCTTTCACTCAAATGCATTCCGGAAGTTCTTTAACAAAATATTAGTAAAAGCCTCCAAGAAGAAGCTTGCTTCTGTTTCTTTTAAGCCTGGGGATCTAGGAAATGTTCCACAACATTGGGTTCAGCACAAACAAGACGCTGCCTTGTGCTTAATATCATTATCCTGGGAAGAAGCAGAGTTTTTTGTTTTTTTTTAAAAAGCTGATCTTAACAGAAAGAAGAGTGGATTTGAGAAGAAATACTGGTTGTCTTATGAAGTGTAGGATGCTACCTAATAGTAAGTGAAATTATTACAACAGACACAAAATGACCAATGGCTCCCCAAAGAAGTCTATTTTTGCTCCTTTATGACAACCCTTTTTACTATAGATGTTTGATTGTCCTTTTGCCCCATATGTACAATATTTGCACTCTTCTAACAGTTGTATGTTCTCCCAGGTATCTTTATCTGCATAACAGTTTCAGGACAGAAAAACAGCCTTCCCTTAGACCAGAAATGGAGGAATTGATCCCCCATCTGTACTAACTGGCAGCTGGGATTGTTGGTTTGGGGCAACATCTGGATTGCACAGCTTGTTCACCAATCCTCCATGATGTGCACAAATGGGTGAGACATGGAATATATTCTGAACAACACTTACTGGAAGCAGTCAGGATATTCTGCAAGGGCCACATCCATTACATCCAAAGCATGTTGGTAATCTTTTTGTGATGAAAAAAGGAGGGCCAACAGATGAAGAGAATTCATATCATCCTTATACAGTTTTAGTGCTTCTTGGAGATGTTCTATTGCATCACAAATCTGCAAAATAAATATTAAATGATTGCTCAGTTACTCATCCTTTCAGATCAGTTTCACTTGTTCTGACCTTTTGACTACAACAAAATAAAAGGAGTCCCAAAGGCAGAATTATTAAAACCTATCTGCAAGGAATAAACCAATTGAACTCCCCAGCAGGAACATTAAAACATCTTTATACAATTCTAAAATTCTATAAAGTAACATTTCAGGTAAGCTTGCTTGTATTTAAATAGAAGCAAGTGATAAGTATTTTCAAAGCTGTTAAACACAGGAAGGAAGTTATTACTCAACTGATCTCTTAATCTTGTTATCTTTTTAATTTAACTATGTCTTTATGCATCACTATAAACAAAGGGTGATCTACTATGCATTTATTTATTCATTTATTGAGCTTAAACTCCTCAGCATTCAACTAAATATTGACTTACAAGATATACAACTCATAGCAATGAAAATATCAGTAGTAAAAATTCCAACATGATTGATTAGAAAATGGAAAGTAAAAAAAGAATAATAATTCAATGCAATGCAATGTAACTCAAGAATTTGCTTTCCAAATATTTGCAAAATTTGAAAACCAATAGAAAAGGGACAAGTCCGATCTCCAAGGGGAAGCCATTTTAAAACAATCAGGTAAACGTTTTTTTAATATTAGAAGTCATGAAATGTTGCTACCTTATAAATTATTTTGCTAAATGACAGGAACTCACCCAACAACAGAGGCTTAAAAGCAAACTCAGTGGGCTTCTAAACTTTTACCTTGAAGTCAAGGAATTAACAGAACAATTATTTTATTTTAGCTCATTTAATTTCAGAAGATGTATCCTTGACAGTAGTCACCAAATTGACTGATGAAAATTTTAATCATGGCATATAATCTATCAGATATATTAATATTATCATTTACCCTTTGGTTAACCAGAAAGAGAAAACATTAGATATTTTAGATTATTCAGAATATTAACATATATTTAAATGCTTATTATGAGCAGCCTCAAACTATATATTTCAAACATGTTTTAAAGATTTACATGCAATTAAATGAAGAAAAATAGAACAAGCATAGAAATTTCTGGCCAAATATAAATTAAAAATTTAAAATATATTGGTGGTGGTGGTGGGGTATCCTAAACTGCATTTGGAGCTTCCAGACTGTTCTTACTGATATATAACCAATAATATATAACAATATAAGTTAGTAGAACAATAACTTTCAATCAACAATAACAGCAAGAAGAAGCCATTTCCAAATTTAGTTCAAAGAATAACACTCTAAGAAAACTGGGATCACTTTGAAACAACCTTCTAAGCACTCAACTTAATAAAATGGAAAGTAGAATAATTCTGAAAAAAACCAACAATATTCAATTCAGTTCCAAACCTACAGTAATTATTGAAACCCTAGTGTGGGAGTGAGCAGCAGAAGCCCTAATAGGGAGTGATCTTTCACCCTAGTGAACGTTCAACTCTCAAGAAGCTTCAATAGAAATGACTAGTAGTGAAAAATAGTAATAAAGTCCAGCAACATCTGAAGGACCGCAAATTGTCCACCCTCATCTAGCAGCTTTTCTAGTCATTTTATGTCTTCCATAAACATGCATAAGAAATTTCAATAAAGTTATAATTCAAGCATCAGAAAGTTAACAAAATATATAAGTAGCAATAATGGACCTTAAAAGTATTGAAGCATTTTCTGACTGATGATAAATCAATTCTATGAGAGATTTAAAAAAAAAACATCCTGAAGAAAGAGAAGCATAAAAAAATCTATGCCCAAGAAAAAGAATTCATGTAGTAGATGCCAATACACCATTGGAAATAGTTCTTTCAAGCCACTTGTCTTTATACCTACCTGCCTGATAAGAGCCAGCTGCAATGAGATATAAAGGATAATTTGGTGGTCTTCGGGTGCCAGGTGATGAGCTCTGTAAAACACAAATGTAGCTTATCCAACACTGCAAAAATGATTTACCATAAATTTACCAGAGAGGCAATTCAAGGGTCTTGCCCCATCTTCCTTTCTTGTAGTTTTAAACTGAATTTCAATTAATAGCCTACAATACAGAGTTCCCCATCACCCTCACTCCAGCACAGTAGTAAAACTACAATGAAAAGATCATTGGATAGAAAATAATTTTTGATTACTCACATATTTTCCTTGCTATGATTCTAGTTCTAAAATATTGTTCTTCTTTTAAACAGAAAGATGCTCAGCTCAAGCGCCCCTCCCCCCCATATATTAGTTGAATGGCAATTGACAGGCAATTATAGTCAAGATTAAATCTTTGACATAGACTTAGAAAGGAGGCAATGCAATTCAAAATTTCAAATGCCTTTAATGATATTGCTCTGAGCAATTCACTGTAGAATGGGTGTATTCTTACTATGGTACTCTTTTCCTGATATTAAAGATAATGTCTTGATTTTAAAAAAATATGAAAAAGAGTCATTCTAATTTCACTGAATAAGAACTGATTACTACCAGGTTCGTGACAGAGTAAAGTTTTTACTGCTTTCAATAACTGTGTAAAGCAACAAATGTCAACAGGTGCAGTTTTTCCTACTCTAGAGCAGCATTTCCCAAACAAATGGCATCTGCAAAAATTATTCTTTTCTTAAACAACTATTGATGGTACAAAAAGCATATTGTCCTTCTGGTTAAGCCTAGGGAATATTCTGTCCACAAGGCAGGTTTAACCTCACACCTCTCTGTTCTGTCAAGACTGTATAAACAAATTTCTTTTTTGGCTTAGTTTATTGAGCTTAATAGTTTGCAGTTATTATGAAAAGCTATGTTTTCCTTTGTGTGTGTGTTTTATCTCTGTGTTTTTCTTTTCTTAAAATATTGAGAATATAGATAGTCCCCTAAAAAACAAGACTACTAGTTCAGATTTTAGAATCTCTAACAGATGAACACTATCTACAGATTATAGTAAATTAAATCTTATCCCATCAAAGCTCTTAGAAAAAAATACAGCTTCCTTTTAAAAAGGCAGATATTCAAAACATGTATGTACATATCCAGCATACTGAGCATTCCCATTTCTCTAACCTTGTAAGTCTGGCCATTAGGGAGAAACCACAAATAAAAAGAATTCTTGTCATATCTTAAATCCCTCTGTGGAACTAAGAAGAGGGAAGATTCGACAACTGTTGAGCTATTGGCAAGAACTCCTCCTTTAATTCCTGCACCAAATGGATTTACTAGCAATATGGCACAATTGACAGTGCTTTCTTTGAGTTTGAAGACGGACATGAAGATAATCTGAGGCATGCTGACCCTCAGCCATTTAGCAGATTAGAGATGACCTAGCACTTCTATTGTCCCTGGAATAATGTAGCAGGTCAAGAGAATGTATTTGCTATTCTGGTGTGCCCTTGACTAGAACGGCAGAACACAGTTGCTGTTAGGAACATATTTAATTCCTTAAATGATGTCAAACAATTGGTGTAGCTGGGCATAGTTTAAACCAATTGATAGCAGTTAGCCAAGATTTCACAGAAGACTATTTCCCCAGTCAGATATAAAGTTGCCCACTGAGGCTCCCTCCTGTTCAAAACTGGGTTCAAGAAATGTCAAGCCAAATTAATTGTTCAGCTACATAGCTCTGTAGTTCAATTAGGTTGGCACTGGCTCATCCCCACTTCAAGCAGAAGATTGCTAGCTAAGGATACAGGTATGGTCCCAGGATGTCCTAGAACAGGGGTCTCCAACCTTGGCAACTTTAAGACTTGTGGACTTCAACTC